TTGAAAATCTGTTCTGTGGTACTTCTTCCAGCATGAAAGCCAGCCTGTTCTTCAGTGATGATATTCTCCGTTTGTGGCTGCACTACCATCCACCAAAACCAATAGGCTCTTAAGTTTCTGCCTCTGGGTATTCGCACTGTTGCCTCACTCTTAGCATCCAGATGCCTGTCTCCCACCTAAGCAGGAAAGCAATTCACAAACCAGGGGAAGACAGACGTTGCAGGCAGGGCCCAGTCCACTAGGTGTGCTGAAAGGCCGCTGACTGAATCAGGTCCCATTCAAGTGCCGCCAACGCTGCCCACCTTATAAGTTTTTCCCAGTGGTTAGAGCTCTTGCATGGGAGATCCAGGTTCATTTGCCCTCTCTCCAGTAGAGGAGACAGGACCTCTCAGGAGGATGCTCTAACCATTGGGCTAGGGGAGAGTCTGATGTGGGGCTCCCTCATTCTCTCCTATTGAAGCTGTTCCATGGGGGATAAATAATGAAAGAGTGATTGGAGATGGAGGACTGGACCCAGGGTCTCCCACCAGGGTGCCCTAACCACTGGACTACAGAGTCCTTCTCACTCACACTCACTCCCTGGCCCAATGACTGTGTACGTATTTATCCACCGTAGAACAGTCATTGGACCAGAGGGAGAGAGTGGGAGGAGGGAATGCATGTCATGGGATTTCTGTTAAGGCTCCCAGAGGCTTTTGGCCATGGGAGACTATAAGTTAAAATGGATCATTAGCAGCTTGCCCCTGCTACTTCACCACTCATCCATCACACCTTTGCTCTTTTCCTGCCCTTTCTTTTCTAGCTATTTCGACTATTCCACGCTGCTGGGCCATCTTTTGCTTCTAGCTTCCCATGCATTGCTGGGAGAGCAGCACCTCCCTTCATGAAGTGACCCTGCTATGATGGTGCACTCATTGGGCCCCAGACAGAGGGGAGGGTAGAAAAAATCCCCACCCCCCGAGAGTGGTGGAACCCATAGTGTGGGGTGGGGGAAGCTGTGGGTCTGCTTCATTCTCCCTGCTTCCTCCCAGGCTCCACCAGGACCCCTGCTTGCTTTGAACAGTGCAGCCAGGGGCTAGGAGAATGAAGACGTGGAATGGCTGCTCTATGCACCTTCAGGTGCAGATGGATTTCCAAACACAAATCTGCCCAGAAGTTGCTGCTGGTCAGGCTGCAAATCCTGTGTGTATGCGTGAGTGCGTGCACGCAGGGGTGGTGGATATTGTGGGCATCACAGGTGTGCGTGCTCACAGCAACCCAAGTTGCTGAAGAGGTGTGCTGCTGCATTTTGTCCTCGTTGTATTTTCCTGAGGACATACAGTTTCATATCCAGATAAATAAAAAGACCATATGGTTACTGGGGTTGTTATGAACACTTTTTGATGGCTTGGCTACGTGTTAGGTACGCACACACCCCTTTACAGAGATTTTTAACATCACAATGTTAAATAGAACCTAAGTAATCATCATCACCTAAGTAATAGTGTAGTCTCTTACAGTGACTGTCCTCATTCAAATATTTGCAACAGTTACTTTATTTGCATTACACACCTACTGCTGCTAACCCCCAAAACAATCATGGAATTATAACAATAGTTGCAAATATCACATGTAAGAAGTGCTAGGAAAACTTCACAGGATGTATTAGGTTTGGCTGTGTTTAGATATTTGCCATACAACCTGTTACCAAGGGATAACTTTTTAAGTGATAGGGATTTGGTGTGGAGCGTTACCCAAAAAAATGGGCATCCTCTAGGACAGGGGATTTCTACCTTTTTCTTTCTGAACCCGCCCCCCCCAACATGCTATAAAAACTCCACGGTCCACCTGTGCCACAATAATTGGTTTTCTGCATATAAAAGCCGGGGCTGGCATTAGGGTAGCAAGCCGGGCAATTGCTTGGGGCTCCACACCACAGGGGCTCCCACGAAGCTACATTGCTCAGACTTCGGCTTCAGCCCTCAGAGGTGGGGCTCAGGGCCTGGGCTTCAGCCCCATGCAGTGGGGCGTCACCTTTCTACCCTGGGCCCCAGCAAGTCTAATGGCCCTGGTTGGCCCTCCTCCAGAACCCCCGCCCCAGGGGTCCCCGGACCTTTGGTTGAGAACCAGTGCTCTAGGATAATAAAAGAATAGTTAGTCATTTTAAAGGAAGCATCCAACTGTCTGCTGAGCACGAAGGCATAGTCCAGCTCGCCTCCTGCCAGGATCTACTTTCAAAATCGCACTGGCTGGGAGTCTACGTCTCCTTCAGGGCCCAATCCTGCAAGATTTGAGAACCCTCCACTCCCAGGAAAGTCAAGAGATATTCAGCATCTTAGAGCTGCCTCTCTCCACTCTCATCCCTTGCTGGGGCCTGGCCAGTAAGCGGGTGCTGAGATCTGTTTGGAAGTGGGAGTCCAGCAGCCAGGCTCAACCCTTCAGCAGTCCTGGCTGTTAGCTTTGGCATCCCTGCAGCAGGTGGGAAGAGAGGCAGATCAGGTAGGATAATGAGGCATGAGGAGGTGTGAAGAGCTGGGGAGCAGTGCGTACTAACTTAAAAGTCATTAACTCCTCTCCCCCTGCAGGAGGTAATTGAACAATATAAAGCCTTGGTCATGCAAAAATCACTGCATGCCGGTAACTTTCTGTAGGGCAGTAACTCCACTGACTTTCAGGGTCAGGTAATGGCAGGCCTGGGCCCTAAGAGCGTGACCAGGAGTTGCCCTGAGAGCAGGGGGAAGTGTGCCAGCTAAGACTGGGAGCAGGAGGCCGTGGTAACCTGTCCCTTCCCCTCTCCTCCTGCCTTCTGCAAGCCAACGTTGCACCTTTTCCCTGGGCAAGGCAGAAAGGAACCACAGTCCCTGCCTGAGTGGAATATTAATTCCCACGGACTGAGCCTCTGGCTGCCAGAGCAGCAGCTGCCTGGCTTGGGGGCTGCTTGTTGTTTGTTTGCAGTAATTTGGCCTGATGTCAAGCAGCCTTTCCTAATCCCACCCCGTTTATTATACCCTTCTCCTCCCCTCCAAACAGCACAGCTCCTCTCTCCCTATTGGCTCCTTCCCCTTTCAATCCCGCCAGCATTTCCTGGATGAGACATGGCTGCAGAGGGAGAGGAGAGAGAGACACCAGCAGCGGCCAGAACAGCCTCAGCACCAGCCTGCGGCGCTGAGTCCCATTGGGGCAGCTGGCACTCCGGCCTGGAGACTGTAGGGACGCTGCACAGTGGTAAACTCTCCTTTTCTTAGTACCTAGACGGCATTGGGTCCCAGCCTTTCATCCGTCCCAATTGCACTAAAGAACAGGAACATGCCTCATGCTGCAGCATTGAGCCAAGTGGAGCACAGCAAAACCTGAGAGTAGTTAGTTAACCCCCACCCCCTTTAGTCAGGGCAACTCTGCCTTTTCCTCTCCCCCCCCAAATAGTGGTCTGAGGCATTGCAATAAAATGCAATGTAAAAGTCGAGTGATCCAGATTGCTGCTTTCCCCTCTTTTCTCTCTGCTTTCAGGGTTTCAGTGCATCTTGCCAGATTCTCGCTTGGCTATAGCTAAATTGTGTGTGTGTGTGTGTGTGTGTGTGTGTACGTACACCCAACCCCTGCAGAACCTGATCTCTGGAAGGGCTCTACAGATTATAAATGTGTGTGGGGAAAAACTGAACCAAGCTGGGTGAGGTAATAGCTTTGAATTAAAACTGAAGAGGAATCTCTTACCTCTCACCAGAGCGGATTCCCTCAGCCACTGTCTCTCTGTCCATGTATCTGAGTCTGTGAATATCTGTTATAGAAGAAATCCTGAGGCAAATGATGTGGTGGTTCCTCAGCCTCGTTATTATGGAGAGGACCAAACCCATAACTCTCTTTCAAATGACAGCTCTGCTCAGGGTCGCAGGCGTAGGTCTCAGTGGAGGTGAGTGACCTCTCTCCATTGTTCTCAAGCAGGCAGACCTGTGCACTCCAGGTAAATTTCCACCAGTCGGTGGTGAGACAAAATGTCTTTAATGGGGTGTGTATTGATCTGTTGCTGGGCTCAAAAATGCTGTTTGACATCGCTGCACATTGCTTTTTGAGCCCATGGCCCCTCCCCATCCCTGTGGCCGAATCTGCCTGCAATAGCTAAATAGTTCAGAGGGATTCTCTGAAGGGTTTTTGATTCCAAACTGCGATGTAGCTTTAGAACTGTCAGAGAAACTCTTTTGAGTCATACAAGCTCCTAAAATAAATAAATGGACAAGAAGTGTGTCACTCCAACTCAATCTGCCTCTTCTCGGGAAGGGGCGGGGGGGCGCGAACTCCAATACAATGTTTTTGGTTACTTTCTTCTTAAAGTGAATTTAGTGCTGGTGAAAGGTGCTGTATTAATAGCACTAGAAAATGAAGTCATCTATTTATTCCTTCACACTACCTTGCCAATGTGCCTCAAGGACCATCTGTGGGTGTAATCTGGTAGATCAGTTTCTCTGGCTTGTTCAACCCTCTGCCTCTCTCCTAATAAGGGAACTAGTTATGGTGGTGATCTTGGTGATATAGTCACAGTCCTAATGAAAACTAGACTGAAACCCACCAAACTCCCTTCAGCTACCATGGGCTACTGACCTGGACTGGATTGGAACCAGCAACCTAGAAGAAAGCTCTGTATCCTATTACTGTTCAGACTTCTCATGGTGTGGTAGGGACTAGCAGTAAACCAATAAGCAATATTTTCAGAGGTGTGATGACATTGATAATACTGGTACGTAACTAAAAGAGTGGTGATGAGCTTTGATAATACATTAATGTACATTGAAGTTATCAATAAACTTGATAAAACAAATTGTTGGCCAAAAGACAAAATAAGACCAATAGAGGGGGTTAGAGAATCTATTTTCAACACTGAACTCTTTTTAATGGATAGATCAATATATACAGGTGTATGTAAGTGTTCCTATTGTCTATTTTTTATCACTATGTGACTGTTTGGCCATCATTGAGAGGCTGATGTTAGGCTCATATGCTGCGAACTTATTTTCTGTTTTCTGTTCTAGAAGTATCACAAATCATCCTATAATGGAGGCAACCAGACAAACGAGAATTTCTCGACCGCACAAGATAAGTGAATCCTCCAAGGTTAGTGAATTCTGCATTGCTTGCTAAAACTTGTAATTAAAATGATGATTACTTTGAAAGAGGCGCCTCTCCTTTTTTAAGGGGGGGGTGAGACAACCATGATGAAACAACTGGATATTTAGTTCCTAGGTATATAATGTAGCATGTAACAAGGTGATTTTAAAATGTAAGTTTATTCCATGGGCTGCAATTAAAAAAAACTGCAGCAAATAGGCCATCTGTTCAGAGTGATTCATGATTTTTAAAAATGGCACATACTGGCAACACGTAATCCTTCTCTGTATCTAGAGGTTTTTCTCCAGTAATTCAAAGGGGGTATATTTAATTTTGTTGCTGAATTGAATTTTTTTAAGATTTGTTAAAGAGACAAGTTAAATTTTATACCCAGGCTTAGGTTTTGTACGAATTCGAACCCTGATCCTGCAAGCACTTGCACATGTGAGCACTCTCTGTGAACTCAGTGGCACTGCTCACAAGCATAACGTTCACTTTCTATGTAAGGGCTAAGGGTGCTGTTGGGATCTGTTTCTGCACCAATGCACAGCTACATTGACTTCAGTTGGGATCCCACGGTAGTCTATACTAGTAGATTCTGATGCAGAAATGGAGACTAAGCGTTGTAAATCCTTATTGTTAATAATGATTCCATTAATTTTATTTAATCTTAGTGAAAATGGGGGAGGATTGTATTTCAATATTGCTCTGCACACTATGTCCTTATGCTAGTACAAGGGAGCCAGAAAAGCTAAAATCGTCAGTTTCAAAATCGTCGGTTGTCAAAGTTGAATGAAAAGCAAAGAGTAAAGCATTAATAATAGTCCAGAGTAAAATGGAACTTCAAACTTTTCTTGGCTATAATAACGACAAGCGTTGAGAAACAGGTAAATAAACATTTTTAAAATACATGACTTTCAATCTTGTCCCTTTACCACTGCTCAGATCACATGTAGCATTTAAAAACTGTAGCATAATAATAATCACTTTACAAATCTATAATCTCAACAGCATTGTTTTGTCCTTTTGCGTGTGCAGTTGCTATTATTATTTATTAACTTTAGAATTACTAGTTAGTATTAAACCTGTTCTACAGAATATAACTAGCATGGGGAAACTATTAGTTTTTAATGTCAAAGTCGTCTTGGTCTTGGCTTTTGCAGCTATCCGTTTTTCCTCAATGTTCTAAGAGTGAACAGATGACTTGGCAAGCAGATGAAGTGTATTAACGTATTTTGAGTCATTACTGCATAGTCCCGTGTGTGTGCTCAGTTTATGCTCGGTGTTCAAAGTGGCAGCACTTCTCCACTGAGACAGGAAGTCAGGGAATACAAGTTGTCATAAGTGGCATTCGGGATTACCCTGCTGACTCTGCAGCACGTTTAATAAATAGGAGCCTTTGGTAACTTGTAAATTCTGCTGTAATCTCGTTATGCAAGACGATGGTATTAAAGAATGTAAGAGAGAGAGAGATGATAATCCTGTTACAAAGGGAAGAGAGCATATATTATTTTTAGTTTAATCCATATCTATACGTCTGAGGACTTCAGAATAGGGTGTTACAAGCTGTCTGCTATTATCTGGTCATTATCTAATGAAAGTTTGTTGTCTTGCAGAACCTGCCCAAAATGACTGGTTTACCTTTTGGAGACTCCATATAGCACACTCGTGTCGTTGCATGCTCTCTTATTTATTTGACGTTACTTATGACTGCTTTTGAATAATGCTTTAACAAAGATAAAAACTTCCTAAAGTTTTAAATACATTCCACTTGTCATTGGGGGTTCACCCTGGAGTCTGCTGACAGCATTTTAACATTTCTATGATTAATTAGATCCTTTCAGTGCTATTTTTGTTATTTATTACTGGTATTACAGTAGTGCCTGGAGACCTTGACTGAGATCAGGGCCCCATGATGCTGGGTCCTGTGCAAACACATAGTTCCTGCCCTGAGGAACTTAAATTCTAAGACCTTGGCTACATGGGGAACGATTTTAATAATTTAAGGTGCAAATTTAAACCGACATGGTTATACTGGTATAATCCCCCCCCATTCCCTGTGTGAACACTCTTATTCCAATAGAATAGTGTATTTTTTTGTGTTGCCTAAGAAAGGGTTGAAGATGAACCTAAAAAAGCCACTCTTACATCAGAAAGTATGTGTCCACATGGCAAGTTATAGCTGTATACTTATCGATATAACTGGTAAAACTTCCCCAATTTAGGGATGCTTATTTGAATTTTCTCTAATCCCTTGCAGCACAGTTCCAGCTCTGATATAGTGCCACAGTGTAAGTAGGGGCATGGTCACAGGGCAGAATCCCAACACACAACCTTGATGTAACCTTCTCTACATCTATAATTGTTAATACTGGTCTAGCATTTGACAGACCATGTACCACATTCTAGACCTCCGATATACAATATGCAACAATTAAAAATGAAAACTACCTTAGCTTCTGGATGATAGCAACAATGGGAATGGGTTACCATCATACTAGGTGACTCTAAACACGGATGAACAGTATTATTATTATTTGAGTGCAGATTATGTGTGTTAGATCTGTACGGAGAGGAAGATACAATCAGTGCCCCAAAGAGCTTACAAATGAGCCATCCTGCCAAGATTTACCATAGGAGTAGCTTTCACGTAAGTCTTGGCAGGGTGACTGCTGAAATCAGACACAAACCCAGCACGACAATTATTATACATGGGTTGAATGATCAAACTGCAAGCATTGCTGTATGAACATTGTCCACTCCCAATATATATTTTATACCTAGTAGGTTACTTTTAAAAGACTTAATAGGTCATTTGCGGTGCAAGTCCTTATACCTGGTGAAAAAGAATATCTGCTCTTCTGTGAGGATGAACACTTCATCTACTGAAGGAAGCTGCTGTCTGATCTAATTTCTAAGGACATAAGAATGGCCATACAGCATCAGACAGATGGTCCATTTAGCCCAGTATCCTGTCTTCTGGCAGTGGCCAATGACCGGTGCTTCAGAGGGACAGAACAGAACCGGGCAATTATCAAGTGATCCATCTCCTGTCATGCAGTACCAGCTTCTGGCAATTTGAGGTTTAGTGACACCTGGAGCATGGGGTTGTGTCCCTGACCATCTTGGCTAATAGCCATTGATGGGCCTATCCACCATGAACTTTTTTAATTCTTTTTTTTTAAACCCAGTTATACTTTTGGCCTTCACAACATCCCCTAGTAATCAGCGCCACAGGCTGACTGTGCGTTGTATGAAGTACTTTTTTATGTTTGTTTTAAAGCTGCTGCCTATTAATCTCATTGAGTGACCCATCATTTGTGTGTTATGTGAAGGGGTAAATAAGACTTCCTTATTTACTTTCTCCACGCCGTTTATGATTTTATAGGCCTCTATCATATCGCCCCTTAGTCATCTCTTTTCTAAGATGAATAGTCCCAGTCTTTTTAATCTCTCCTCAGATGGAAGCCGTTCTATACCCGTAATCATTTTTGTTGCCCTTCTCTGTACCTTTTCCAATTCTAATACATCTTTTTTGAGATAGGATGGCCAGAACTGCATGCAGTATTCAAGATGTGGGCGTACCATGGATTTATATAGTGAAATTCTTTATTTCAGGTGTACAGATGGGCTGACCACCCCAGTCTAGTTCTTCAGAGTCTGAATGAGCAGAGACACCAAGGACTTTTCTGTGATATTATTCTGGTGGTGGACGAACAAAGAGTCCCTGCCCACCGGAATCTCCTAGCTGTTTGCAGTGACTACTTCAACTCCATGTTCACCATTGGCATGCGAGAGGCCTATCAAAAAGAGGTCGAACTATTTGGAGCCTCTTACATTGGTCTCAAAGCTGTGGTGGATTTCCTATATGGCAGTGAGCTGTCCTTAGATGGTGGCAACATTGATTATGTGCTGGAAACAGCTCACCTGCTGCAGATCTGGAAGGTGGTTGACTTCTGTTGTGAGTATCTCGAAAATGAGGTCAGCGAGGAGAACTACCTGTACCTTCAAGAGCTGGCCTCTATTTACAACCTGAAACGCCTGGACTCCTACATCGACTCTTTCATCCTGCAGAACTTTGGCACACTCTCTTTCACGCCTAACTTCCTGCAGAACATTTCCATCCAAAAACTCTGCCAGTATCTGGGGAGCAGCAACGTGCAGCAGGAATGTGAGCACGACTTGCTGCAGGCCGCCTTGCAGTGGCTGACACAATACCCGGAAAGAGAAAACGAGGCTTACCAGGTACTGGACAACATTCATTTTCCCTTGATACCGAAGAGTGACCTCCTCCATCGAGTCAAGCCTGCTGTCTGCTCTCTTCTCCCGAAGGAAGCAAACTGTGAGGGGTTTATAGAAGAAGCGGTGAACTATCATAATAACGTCACAGCCCAGCCAGTGCTCCAGAACAAGCGGACGGCTTTGCGTACAAATGAAGAGAGGCTCCTCTTTGTGGGTGGGGAGGTTTCGGAACGGTGCCTGGAGTTAAGCGATGATACCTGCTTCCTGGACACCAAAAAGGGGCAATGGATAACAGAAACGCCACTCCCAGCCAGGCGAAGTCACCACTGTGTTGCAGTGCTGGGAGGTTTCATCTTCATAGCTGGAGGCAGCTTTTCAAGAGACAATGGAGGGGATGCAGCTTCAAATCTTCTATATAGGTATGATCCCCGCTGTAACCAGTGGATAAAGGTGAGACTCAAGCTGTATTACATCTTATTCTTTTAAAGTCCTTAATGTTTATTTTTATCTTTGTTGGTGGAAGGAGAACACTCGTGGTGGGCACTAAAATATACCTGCATATTTATGTTTGAAAACGTAAAACACCCCTCTCAGTAGAAACAGCTAATTGGATAACTTCTGTGAACACTGTAGTTACACCAGTAGTGAAAGACTATGACTTTTCAAAATTGGTAGTGACGAGGGGCCAGATTTTCAACTCCCATTGGGGTGTAGGCACCTAACCTGCTTAGACACTTTTGAAAATCCCATTTGGCACCCATCTACATCTTTAGGTGCCTAAACACCTATGAAAATCTGGCCCAAAGCGCTGTGCAAGGACCACTGTGCAAGATTTTTAAGGCCATACAGAGACCAGAGGTTTTAAAGATGGAAAACATATATTGGATCAAATCTTTCCCCTTCCATGTCTGAGTAGAGAACCCCCTCCCTCCCAATATTAAACCGATACTACATTTTGGACTGATCTTCCATTCTTTGTGTACTCAGAACCTTCTGGGGTTCAGTGTTTGAGTCTATCGCAGTATCTCTGGGCGCACAGGATATTGCGAGATGGGCCGTGTATCACTAAGGAATAGAGTGGTTTGTCTCTTAGGCTATATCTGCACTTGGAGCTAGGGGTGTGATTTTCAGTTCGTGTAGACATACCTGTGCTAGCTCTTATCAAGCTAGCTAAAAATATAGCGTAGCTGCAGTAGCACGGGCAGCGACTCGTTGCCCCAAGTGCATATCGGTGCCGTCCAGGTGGGTTTCTATGCAGGGCAGCTAGTCCATGCCGTTGCCTGTGCTACCACAGCTCTGCTACAATTTTTAGCATGCAAGCTCGAAGAGAGCTAGCCGTGAGTATGTCTACGCAAGCTGGGAATCACACCCTTAGCTCCAAGTGTAGATACAGCTTTAGATGCTTTCCATTATCCCTCTATGACCTTTAAACGTCAATGCTAATGTATCATGTGCTACAGAAGAGCAGAGTTTTATTGTTGTCTAAATATGTATGGCAAACACAAATAGCAGCCCTTTTTAAAACTCATAGGAGGAAACAAATCTTCTTAAACCTACTCTTTAAATCAACTTACCGATTGTTTGAGGATGTCGGTATTTTATTTTATTTATTTATTTTGCAGGTTGCCTCCATGAGACAACGACGCGTAGATTTCTACCTTGCAGCCATTACAGATATGCTGGTAGCTGTTGGTGGGAGGAATGAAAATGGGGCTCTTTCTTCAGCTGAGACCTATAGCCCTCAAAAAGACGCCTGGTCTTATATAGCAGGCTTGCCAAGGTAACAGTGGTCTGTTTAGCAAACCATGCTTTCCTTAAAGAAAAGAACTCTCCAAGATCCACTGTGTTCAGTCCTATATGTGAGTATCCTGGGAGGGAAAAAGAGGAATAATCTGAGCTCATGATATCTGAGCAGCTGTCTCCTCGAGGCCATGAATTTGAGATCCACTGGGGTTGTCTTTGGTCTCCACCTTGAGGTTACAACTGTAACAGGGCAAGGAAAAGGGCCTTCTCATTTCACGTTCTGTGTTTGTAGACTGTCTTTTCTGAGGTTGGTCTCAGTGGAATCCCTTCAGATTGTTTAGATCTCAGTGCAAGGCATTATTTGGGTGGGTACCTTTAGCACCATGTATTTTATGTCCTCTAGTTTGGGCTTTTTGCCACCTGCTCTTCCTTGCAGGTATTTTTATGTTGGCTGCTGGTACACATGCCAATATGGAGAGATCCATGTGCCACGGGTGTGCAGTCCAAGTTAAAACTTAGTTGTTTCACTCTTGAGGATGCTTTAATTGTACCGTGAGCACCATTAACACTTGATTTTACTTACATCCCAAATTGATACCTAGAACTTCAAGGTGGTGACCTTTTGAAGGGGGTAGTGAGATCTTTCCCACTGGTATGGTAGCAGTTCATGATATTGCATGAGTCTCTGAGGTTCGTAAAGGTAGCTGCTGCTCATGTTGTATTACCAGAGTGCACAGCAGCCTCTGATTTCAGTGGTCACGTTTGCTTGGTTGTTATTAGGTGGTATCTCCAGTAGAACCCTTCAGAATCTACTTTGCCTAGAATTTGTGGTGTGTTTCTTATTCTCTGATGCTAACAGTTCAGTCCTTAGCTGCTAACTGTCAGAATCCTAGACAGCTAGTGTAGACATGGATAGCAGAGAGGTCTCCTTTTTCCAGTTCTGTATTGGACATGTGTAGCTATGTGAATATGACCTGGACCAACAACAGGGCTCAGTGCTCCTGAGAAGCAAGAGGCAGATATTCTTCCGCACATATATGTGGGTCTGGCAGTTGAGATTAAACACCATCAAATCCCCCGGCCTCCTGGGTATGGGGGCGAGGTTTCTGCACAAATGAGAGTTAAGGGCCTAACTTCCATTTGTGCCTATGGAAAGCCACCCCCCTAGATCACATGTGGATTACATTTTAATACAGTTGTGGACAATCCGACCCACACCCTCCCCTTCACGGTCAAATAATGTTCCTGGGGCAACTACAGCAATTACTGTTACATGGCATTCTGCAAGTACGTTAATATTGCTGTCCCTTTTTGATCTGAGTGGCTAGTCAAAGTTTTGCAGGCTTGGGGATGTTCCAGTTGGAAGTAGAAATTGGTGGAGCCTGGTGTTTTCTTTGCAGTTTTGTTACATTACAAAAAGAATGAACAAAGTGCGGTTTCTCTGAATGCAGAAGGAAACAAAAATAGCAGGAAACAGCATCTTTTGCTCTGCACCAAGAACGCTCTTTTAGCCTGCCCCTCTGGCCCAAAAAACCTCACCCCAGGGTCACCCACCAACTGCTAGACAAGATGCGATAAATCGATCCCAGAAGATCGATTGCTTACCGCCGGACCCGGAGGTAAGTATAGACCTACCCAGCGTGAGTGAAGCCTCCCACCCGTTTCCGGCCCTGCATCTTGCACCTGCAGGGATTGGTGCCACTGGCTGTGCAAGTAGTTCTGCTGCAGAGGAACCACAGAGGGTTCCATGCAGAGCCATGGGGCTGGTGACACTGGATCCCGGCAAACACAAGGTGAGGGGAAGACTGCGGTCCTGGTGGGGCAGGGCAGAGACCAGCAGCCAGGACTGTGAGGAGGAGGGTGAGCCCCCAGCTGTGGGGGAAGTCACCCTGCTGTTGAATCGCTCTTGCCTGGGGATGGAGCCAATCAGCAGCGGGGTGGCCTGCCTCATCACTGGGGGCTTGTCGTCCTCCTTGCAGTCCCAGCCGGGGGTCTCCACACTGCCAGACCAGGTCCACAGCTTTCCCTGCACCTTGCAGCTGGATATTCTGGGCCCCACAGCTGTGCAGGGAGCCCCTTGCAGCCTTACTGTCATCGCCGCCTTAACCCTTCCCCCACTCTTAATTTCCTACAACTGTAAAAATTAAAATTAAAAAATCGATATTAATCATTGAAACCAGGGAGAAAAAAAACAAACAAATTCTGCCTAGCCTAGGAATAAGGAAAGGAGTCTCCTGCTTTCTCTCCACAGTGTGAGAACTTGTCCTTCAGATAAGACATTACTAATCGGGGCTGGATAGTATTTTGCAGACATGCACAAACACTACATTGAAAGAACATTAGTAAGGTAGCCTAGTCAAGCACTCAAAAATTAGCAAATGTGTGGTTCATTCAGCCTTAATTTGCCCCCCTTGTGCATATCCACTATGATAGTCTCTAATTACATGTCCACATACTATTTTGTCACATGGGTTTTTGTGTGTGTAATTTCCTCGTTTGTGGGGTGTTTTTAAAGTAAACTGAAAAAAATAGAAATTGCAATATGTGACATCATACTGACCCCCACGTGGGCTCATCAGCAGGATTCGAACCTTTAGATCTTCTGCACAGACTTCTGCCACTTGAGCTAAAGGAGTAACTGATAGCAGTAGTAGGTTGTCATCATTTATGTATACCAACACTAGAGGGTGATCAGACGCACGCTTTGCCAGTGGGGTTCACAACTGTTTGCTGACAGCAGAGGAATGGTGAGGCTCTGTAATCTTGGGTTTCATTATAGGCTCTGGAGGGGAGTGTTTTCTAGTAGTCACAGATAATTGCATCTCCCCTCACCCCCCTTCCCTCCCCAACCATGACCCTGTATGTCCTATCCCCTCCAATCTGTTCCTGTCCCAGTCCTCTCTTCGCCTTTCCAGCTCCTTGTACCAGTCCCATTGCCCTTGCCCAGCCAGTTCTAGTTTTCCCCCTCCAGGTTCCTTGTCCGATTTGTCTTTCCCCTTCCTCCCCACTCAGTCTCCACCCCCAGTCCCTTCTCTGTTTCTTTGCTGATCCAGTGGTAGTTCTCCCCGTTTCCTTGTCAGATCGGTTTCTTGTCCTCCAAGCCCCATTTCTCCCCCCAGCACATACACACTGGTTCTTAGTTCCTGTCTTCTTGGCAGCCAGTCCCAGTCTCTCCCCCAGTTCCTCACCAATCTGTGTCATATTCCCACCCAACCCCTCCCCCCCCCAACAAACTAGCTCCCAGTTTCTTTGCCCAACCGGTCCCAGTCTCCCCTGTCCCATACTCCCCTGGCTCCTAATCCCAGTATCCATGTTCAGCCAAATTCAGTCTTTGCACACACCCCTCCTGCTCTCAGTCAGTTTCCTACACCCCCTCCAACCTGGCCCCACCCTGGACTGGAGCAGTAATCGCAAAGAAAGCTTCACCTCTGTAGGCCTATACTAGACGGCCCATGCTCAGTCACTCGGTGGGGGTGGCACATGTGTGGTCTGGCTAGCAGTAGGAGCTGTGAGGACTTTGAGCATGTTCAGTGAGGACAGAATCATTGAAGATTATAGCTGCTAAAATTGAAGAAGTTTCTCCCGGGCAGGTGAAAATTATATTACATTTTTATCAAATTTGGACAGATTTTCATAGAGACTGCGAAATCCTGATACAGAGGCCTACCTCCCTCCGCGCCCGTGCCATATTTTAAGTCCCTGATCTAAAGTATGGTGGTGCTCACCCTTTTCAAAGAAATGGTTACTAGAATTTTTGACATGAGCAAAACAAAACCTCAGCCTGGTACTTGAAAATGGCTAAACCGTTTTGGCTGGTTTCTAAATTCCATCAGAGGCAGACACTTGGCATGGAAAATTTCAGCCCGAATGATTAAAGTTTGGCAAAATTATAAGCAGCTGAAAATAGGATCTTCTAACGGGAAGTGTCAGGCCACCTTAATAATATCAGGAATATTTTTGCAGGACAGGCACTGTCTAACATTGAAAAATGAGCACCTGCAGCTGCCATTGACTTGGAGTTGTGGGCCCTTAGTCCTTCAGAAAATCAGGTGAAGAGTGTGCTGCTCATCCAGTTGTTGTTGGTTTTCTTTTAAGAGAAATTCTGAGCTTTTCTCGCAGTCACGGGTTGGCTCTACTGCAGCAGAAGCTGTAATTCACGCTGCATTGCATCGGGGAAGGTTCTTCGAAACTGGCACAGCATCTCTAATTAATATTGTGGCTTGAAACCGTTTCCTCTTTAACACCTCTGCTCAGCAGGTCTGACAACATTCCCTTAGACACATATGGCAAAATGCCTAGTGCCTTCAATGGGAGCATGACTGGGCCTGTTCTAAAACTACTGCAGTCCTGTTGTACCCACGTCCGTTTCAAAGGCTTAAGCAATGGTGTTTGCGCAGAATTCAAGGTGACAAAAGCGAAGTGTGCGAAACCATTTGCTATGATTTCTAAGTCTGCTTGGTTTGTGTGGCTGTGGACAAGCACGTTTTAAGTCAGATTAGCTGAAACACGAGTAGGCTGTTTCAGCAGATCGTCTGCTGTATTAGAAAGTAATGACGGGATGGACAACTTGATGTTTCACAGGAATCTGCCTACAGTAGAACTCATGCTATCTAGTGAAGTTGTTCAGCAGTCAGAAGGCAGAAAGGAGAAATCTCAGGGCATTTTCCATGGCTGTGTCTATGCTAGATTTTCCAGCCGTGATTGAAGGGGGCTGTCAAATGCGGTTCCTCGCTCAGCCGTTACTATACTCTGCAGTCCTGTTGGTATAGGTAAAAGTCAGCTGAGTTCACTCAGTGTCAATAGAATTGTCTCTAAAAACAAACAAAAAACCAAGGTGGACTGATTTGCTATGATGGGCGCTGATCACTGTTAATCCTTCCACATCAGCAGTACAACAGAATGCAACACAGCATATAGCCTGTGTGGGGGTTTTTTTCTCTCTCTTTTTTTCCCCCCTCAAAACTACGGAGCAGCGCCAGCTCCCGTTGTATTAAATGAGGGCAGCGGATGCTCAGCATCATCTATAAACTCAGTTAGTTTTGTGTGGGGAGGACATGCTGAAAGGTCCTAGCGCAGATTCAGATTGTGGCTCAAAACATCTGAGTTTGGATCCTCCTTTGGAATGTCTTTCAACTTGTTCTCGCTTCATGTAGAGTTTATAAGCCTCTTCTGAGAGTCTTGACTTGGTCAAATACAACAAAGTCTTGGGGCGTCTTCACTCCAAAGTCTCTGTATGAATGGTGCTGCTACTCGGATGGCCATTCGCCAGCCACTTGGCCCCGTTTCACCAAGTAAGACGGCACTGTGGTAGTCTTTGTATTCCATCTCAAGGACCCTTCTGCGTCCTATAGTTGGAGCTTGCTTGTATGTCTCAATAACACATCTTCCAAACAGAAGTATTGTGAAGGAGTGCTGGGTCATGGGCTTTTGCATGCAGCTGGATTAACAAGTATACATCTTTTATCTTCTCTTTACATGATAATTTAAGATAAACCTTGGTTTTCTTTATTCTTGGCACTATATAGACATGGAAGAAGCTAAGGTAGTGGGCCCAAAGAGTTTGCAGTCTGTAGCCGAGAAAGAATCTTGCTCTGTGAAATTAAAACAACTCTTAGGTTCTGTGCACATTGAGCCCTGACATGTTTAAGCATGGTTTTAAGTCATTTCATGCTAAACTGATTTTAATATGGATTCGGCTGTCATAGGGTTAGGCCTAACTGTTTAAACCACTTCAGTGTGAAGCTAAAATAACTGCTTCAGGAATCATGTTTTTTAATGGTTGTAGTACAAGAATAGATAGGGTTGGAGGGGTGCGAGTCACCCTGTAGGAAGTAGCATGCGCTTCTGGTTTATACTGACTTTACCAGCTGTCCATGTCTTTGTTACAGAGAGATATGTTGGACTCAAATGGGAAAGTAGAGAGAGCTAATCATAGCATCGTCTGCCAATTCCTTTATGGCAATCCCAGATTTCTGGTAGGAGGGAAGTGTTTTTAACTATAATCTATTTCTGCTGTAACAGAATTTATAGAAATGTTGAATTCTTATATGGCAAGAATGGGGGGAAATATAACTGTCTAAGAATTAGCTGCTTCTGAACTAGATGCATGCAGAGGTGGGGGGGGAGAGGGGGGTTGTTTTGTCTTTTCAGGGGTGGTGAGTGAGAGAATTCTAATAATCTGATAATTCTATCCATCTTCAGTGCCATTTTTTGTTTAATCCACTACTTGGTTTCAAAACTTACGTTTTGTAAACTTACAACGATGTAACGAGAACAGCCTCAGAATTCTCTTTGGAGTTCCTGTCACGGAGCACTATTCCTCTAGAGCCTGAGAGAGTTTTCTGAGCTTGGTTTGCTCTTCTAGGAAATATAACTCTAAATATATTTTTTTTTTGCATATTCAGTCATCAGCAATTTTGATAGCAAAATTAAAACAGAAGAAATTAAACAGGTGACTTTTGCTTGCCTCCTTAAGCTGTATTGCAGACACTGGATCTTCTGGTCATATTCCATCTTTAGATGTATAGGGTATCCCAGAACAGTGGTCCTGGTTTGCAAAGGAGGAATGTAGAACTCCTTTCCCCTCCCCCCCATTTCCCCCCAGTTGATTTAAATTTTGAATATTTCTCTAATTGGCGAATCTAAACCCGTTTTTTCCTAAATTTTGGGAGTGGGAGTTCTGAGGATTGAGTTTGTGGACTCTCACTGGGGACTCTCAAACTAACAAAAAATCCCCATCAAAAAGTTACAGTGGTTGTTTGCAGGTGTGGGTACTTCTCTCTGAGGTGACTGGCTTCTGTCAGAATCTGATCTCCTTTTAAAAAAAGGTGATAAAGCAAGTTAAGGCTCTAGGTACTTTGGAGCTGTTTTTCTATGGATGATGATGTTACCTGGCCCATGCTATGGTTAGAAAGACCTCCTTGGCATACAGATTTAGGGTAAGATTTTCAAAAACACTGATCGTTGGTCTAACTCTGCTTCTGTTGAAGTCAATGGGAGTTGATGTCAAGTTAAGTTAAAGCTGATTGGTTTTGAAAATCCCACACTCAGTTAGTGAATTGTCTTTATTTTCATATAACGCCACTTCACCAATCCTAAATTTAGCACAGGCTAGACTCTCCATGAGTTACACTCCATCTCCTGGAAGCCAAAGGAACCACACTCTCAGATGATATCACTGCTCCCATAAAGCCTTCATAACTACTCCTTGCCCAGCAAATCTTCCTTTCTTATTTTTCCTCCACACTTTCCTTGGGACTTTAATAGACGCAAATAATTTATTACCTACTTAATAATACTAGCGAGAGCCGTGCTACTTCTGCTGTTTCCTAAAGCCTTTTTCATGCTGCTGAGAAAGTTGAACCAACACTACTCTTTAGTATCAGAGTGGTAGCCTTGTTAGTCTGTATCCACAAAAACAATGAGGACTCTGGTGGCACCTTAAAGACTAACAGATTTATTAGGGCATAAGCTTTCGTGGGT